CCCAGTTGCCTCTGTCGGCCAGAAGTTCCATCTGAAATAGAAGAGAAAGGAGAAATCAAGATTAGAGAAATGATTGGAAGCATCAATACTTCTAAATACTATGTATATACGAATTCATGAACTAGCTACATTTCTTAACGTCAATACCTAACATGTCTATGGTGTAGCGGTTAGCCGCGCAGTTATCCCACACATGATATCCGAGTTCAATTCCCTAGAGAGGAGAATAGTTATCGAGAATCTCGGTCTTTCTGCTGGGATGGGATGTTGTATCCCTCTCAGCCTGGATTCGTCCTGGTAGGCAGGGTCAGAACCCGCCTCCTAATGAATCTTAATTGTGTCCACAGCTGTATTAAAACGCCTACATTTAAAAAAATCACTAACATTGCCTGATGACCCGTCTGCACGCACAAAAACTGTGTACTGAAACAACATTCAACACTAGCGACATTAAGAAAATGGGTTTGTTTTTAAGGATTTGTTTTCCCTTTTGGTGAGTAAAATGATGTTGTGTAGATTTCTCACAGCTTAACAACTAAGAAGCATTATTCATCTTTACAAGAATATTGTGCCTAAGTGTCCAAGCGGCGTTGTTTGTTTTGTTTTGTTGTAAAGTTTACCATGTCGTTTAAGATGAGAGACACCGGCTACATCGTCACAAACAAGAACACAACATTCGCGTTTTAGATAAGAAGGAAGTTATCGTCAAAAATGTATTCTTAAAAATGATGTTTGCAAAGAATTTGTTTTTCTTAGTAACGACATTTAGTTTATTTGGCCCTCCTGTAAAAAATAAAAATAAAAATAAAACATTGCATATTGCACTTTAAAAAATCATGACAGAATTATTACATTTGCAACTTATTTATCGCATTTTGTGTTTTGACGGACGAACTAGAAGCAGCACGGATGGTGCAGTTTTGCTAGGCTGTAGACATAGAAGAAGCAACATTGATACGAGTACTGCATATTTCTTCTCTAACGGAATAGTGATTTTCATAAGTACATAAATCCTGCTTGAATGTGGTAGTCGCTAAAACACTGGTTACCGGAGTCAGGAGCTCAGACTGAATCTGAGCAAGAATTTCCCGAGATATCTTTGAGGTTGTTTGTTATCATGGGAGAGTTTTTACCCCCCACCCCCTCTGTAACTCTAGGTTAGTCCTATCGGAGACGGTTGTGGATTCTCTCTCTCTCTCTCTCTCTCTCTCTCTCTCTCTCTCTCTCTCTCTCTCTCCCCTCTCTCTCTCTCTCTCTCTCTCTCTCTCTCTCACACACACACACACACACACACACACACACACACACACCCAGCTCATGGTCATCAAACCAACTGGATGAACAAAAGTTGTGTTGAAAAAAGGGTAGCGCTCAAAGTTATTTAATTAACATAGGCTCACCTTGGTAGACCACACAAAGCAACTGATATGTGTGTGGTAATGGCAGTCTGTTAACCATGTCTTTTAGATTATATATATATATGTGTGTGTGAGTGTGTGTGTGTGTTTGTGTGTGTATGTATGTGTGTGTGTGTGTGTGTGTGTGTGTGTGCGTGTGTGTGTGTGTGCGTGAGTTTATAAGTGTTTTAAGCAGGGTTAGTATCAACTATATCCGTGGAAGTATCAATGGGTTAATGTTATAGTTAGAAGTCTACTATACGTTGCAACCTTCACATACTCTGATATTTCTGTCTGATCTTCAACTATTGTTCATGAAAATCATTTCTGTGGATACTTACATATGTCGATTAACTGATTGTATTGAACAATTGATTGTGTTGAATTCTGATTTCAACGAAATTCCGTTAGGAATAAAAATAACATACTATATATTAGGTCCATTTATCAAGCGTGACTTACTTGAAACACTTGATGAAGATAAGAAAAGTAAAAGTATTCCTAGATCACAAAATTTATTAGCGTGATATTGTTCTGATTTATTTCATTTCAAAGATGAAACACAAACACAGAGATAGACAGAAGGGAGAGAGCGAGAGAGAAAGAGAGGGGGAGAGAGGGGGGGAGAGAGGGGGGGAGAGTGGGGGAGAGAGGGGGGAGAGAGGGGAGAGAGAGAGTAAGAGAGAAAAAAGAAAGAGAGGAGAAGAGAGAGGGAGAGAGAGGGAGAGAGAGAGAAAGAGAAGGGGAGAGAGGGATAGAGAGAGAGGGAGGGAGAGAATGAGATAAAAATAGAGAAAGAGAGAGAGAGATAGAATAAGAGAGAGAAAGAAAGAGAGGGGAAGAGAGAGGGAGAGAGAGAGGGAGAGAGAGAGGGAGGGAGAGAGGGGGAGAGAGAGAGGGAGAAAGAGAGAGGGGGAGAGAGAGAGAAAGTGAGAGAAAGAAATAGAGGGAGAGAGAGAGAGAGAGAGGCAGAGAGAGAGAAAGAGAAGGGGAGTGAGAGGGGGATAGAGAGAGAGAGAATGAGATAAATAGAGAGAGAGAAAGAGAGAGATAGAGTGAAAGAGAAAAAGAGAGAGAGGGAGAAAGAAAGAAAGAAAGAGAGAGAGAGAGAGAGAGAGAGAGAGAGAGAGAGAGATAGAGATAGAGAGAGAGATTGTCCTTCATGTTGAGACAATTATTACTTCTTTCCAAAAGTTCAAAAAGCATCGTCAATTCAATACAACGTTTTATACATACAATAGCAAAGAGCTGCAACGCATTTTCTCATATCGTTATAAGCAAAATACTCAAAGTTTAATTAGCGAAACAATGTATTCAAAACACACACAAAGTAAGAAAGTGTCTAAGACAACGTACCTGTTCCATGTCCAAAATCTCCAACGCGTCTTTGTTCAGGACTCTGTACTTGGCTTCCTTCAACACAGGCATGGTTGCTAGATGGTAAACAGCCGCACAAAACGCCAGGGAAATCCACAAAGAAGTAGATTTTTGGGAAACGTTTCTCAAGTCTTTGAATCTCACAAACAGCACAGAGCACAGTGCACTAACGAAAATACGTAAGCCAAAAAGCAGAAAAAAGACAACTGATTCTGAAGTCCGAGATGTGCACTTTGGAAAACGTCGGCTATGTAGAACACAAGATCGCAATGTCAAGAGCTGTAACCTCACTGAGAAGTGAAATCGAATAGGAAGAAAATATCAGATCGGGCCCTTATATATGGAGGGGATACCATAGGCACCCTTAGTGGCCTTAGTAGCAGACAGCCCAATCAAATGGCTTTGAAAAATTTCAATGACCGTCATCAGAATTCAAAATCTTTAACAAAAACAAGCCGAGGCAAGCCAGTCATCGTCATCTCTATTGTCCGCCCTACCCTGTCAGGAGTCTCCTGGCTCCCTCAGGGCCATTAGTTCAATCGTTTCATAGAATACTTATCAAAACAGAACATCTACAAAAGGCCGGTGTGTATACGGATATGACAAGCCAGCTTTTTAATCGTCGGCAATGTCCGCTCAATTTTGTGAGTCGTCGACGCAACCGACTCAGGTGTGAAAACTGGACAATGGGTGACCGCTAGGAGTGGTGAATGTGGTTTGATATAGACAAGCCTTTATCACAATACCAGTCGTTTTGTTGAAAAGAAACGTTATCAAATCAAGAGAATTTCTCTGAATGACAAGAATAGAGTGGAAAAAAAGGTCTCAATATACTGACTTTTATTCTCTCTCTCTCTCTCTCTCTCTCTCTCTCTCTCTCTCTCTCTCTCTCTCTCCTTTAGCTTTTTATTATTCCATTTCATTTCATTTTTATCTATTTTTAAGGGACTTGTTGTTTTTTATTTTTTTTGCTTGTTGTTCCTTTTTTGGGGGTGTTTTTTATATACATTTTTTAAAGTGGAGGTACTTCATAGGCATCTTAAGTTATAAAGAACCTAATCTAAAGATTTGATTGTTTGATTGCAATGACCATCATTAAAATTTAAAATCTTTAACAAAAACTAGCCGAGGCTAGTCAGTCCAGGATCTGATGACATCATCATCTCTATTGTCCGCCCTACCCTGTCAGGAGTCTAGCTCCCTCAGGGCCACTAGTTCAAATGTTTCATAGATCACTTATCAAAACAGAACATCTACAAAAGGCCGGTGTGTATACGGATATGACAAGCCAGCTTTTTAATCGTTGTCCATGTCCGCTAAATTTTGTGAGTCGTCGTCGTAACCGGCACAGGTGTGAAAACTGGACAATGGGTGACCGTTAGGAGTGGTGAAGGTGGTATGATATAGACAAGCCTTTATCACAACACAAACTCTTTTGTTGAAGAGAAACTTTAATGGTAAAATCTGAGTCGCATCCGAAACAGAACGGCTTCTCATCTCCCTGTAGGGTAGGAGGTGTTAAAATGTGTGGGTCAGGGCCGTGTGTCCGATGTGCAATCGAGTAAAAATGACTTTGTCTCTTCTGGAGAGGTCCGAAGGATTTCACGGTCCCAGTTTGGGTTTTATATTATAGAGTATGTTATTTTCCTGTATTTTCCAGTGGCTCTCCCACAAACTGGAGGTGTACTTTTTGACTTTATTTTTTAAAGTCAGTCTGTGGGAGAGTGTTCGTCGTTGATCACAACAGTAGGGATGAGGATTTCTTCGCCAGGTCGTTTACCTGCTCGTTTCCTCGGATGCCCACATATATCATTATTAATTGAAAAGGAATGTTGTCTTCTTTTCAATTGAACCAAAATCCAAAATAATGAAACGTCTACCTCGTGGACCAAACCGTCAAGACTCACACTTTGTTTGCTCTTGGCTATCGCAGACACAGGTAGCTGTGTGCAACTACTACTACTACTACTACTACTACTACTACTACTACTACTACTACTACTACTACTACTACTACTACTACTACTACTACTACTACTACTACTACTACTACTACTACTACTACTACTACTACTACTACTACTACTACTACTACTAATAATAATAATAATAATAATAGTAATAATAATAATAATAATAATAATAATAATAATAATAATTATAATAATAATAATAATAATAATAATAATAATAATCATCATCATCATCATCATCATAATAGTAATAATAGTTATTGTTTAAGTAAAGGTTTAACGGCGTTTGCAACTACAAAAATTCATATGAGTGCCAGAAGATTAGAGGTGTTACAAGAGAGTAACAGATAGAAAAAAGAAGGGGAGATAAGGAATATAGATGTTCGATAGGAGCACCCGATTAACCACCCAATAATAATAATAATAATAATAATAATAATAATAATAATAATAATAATAATAATAATAATAATAATAATAATAATAATAATAATAATAATAATAATAATAATAATAATAGCATTTGTATAGCGCATATCTCTGCTTTACACTAAATTAATACATCAGCAGACAACAGAACATCGCAAAGCATTATAATCTTTCTGGGAAGCATGCAGCGCAAGACTCTATAGCTGGTTATACAGTCCCTCCTGGGTGAAGTGGGGAAAATTCGTGTAAAGTGCCTTTTCCAGGGACACAGCGTTGGGTCCCAAATGGGATTTGAACCCACGACCTTGCGGTTGCAAGTCTGAGAACTTTACCATTAGCTACCAACGACACAAAGATCACTGTGTCTGTCAAAAAAGTACGACCTACCTGCTTGTCTTCCCTCCCAGAACACAGTATTAATTCCCCCGAGCTGAGCTGCTTCTGTCCAGATTGTATCCAGGGGGTTTCGCTGACTCCTAGTATGTGCAGCCTGTATCGCTTCACTGCTTCTTTCATGGAATCTTTTATTTTTCCCATAGTTCTTCCAATTAAGTAATGTTTTCCAGACCTTGAAATGTATTGCTATTATCAATTTACAAAAAACATGTTTTTCAATGTTTGATTTGTCTCTAAAAAGCCTTATTTCAAATTTAGGTTGCTACTTTGACTTCTAAAGGGTTTTTTTCAGTCCCATCTGCATTTTGCACATGGCTGGTACATGGTCACTATTACATTCTGCTCCTGTCAATAATTTAGAGAATTTTTATTGAATTTCAAAAACATATCCGAATGAGTAAGACTATGTTCACACTTGTAGGTATGCGTGCGTGGTTGGCGGGTGCAACTGTGTGGCAGAGCACCGGGGAACAGCGACTCTATTTTTAAAAACAGGAAAAAAAGTGTCCGGGGAACAGCGACTGTCCTAAGCGAATACCTCGTCGTGACGGTATTGATGATGGTATCGATACACCAGCCGCCCGACAAAAAGATTTTTAAATAAAGACTTTAAAACTATGTTTTATCGTAAAAATAATATCAAATTCGGAACCAGCGTGTCCAAATTAACAAAATAACTCGTGGGTGACCGCTTTTCTTGCTGGATTTAGAAGATCACAAAAAGAAGTATTATATAGACTCGACCAAGATTGCATCTTGTAGTATTTTCCTTTCATAAAGAGGACAGACAACAGTCAATTTTAACTGATCTCATAATAGACCCCCCCTCCCCCCCCCCCCCCCCTTCAGTGTGAAGTGACACGTGGGAGGCTGTAAAATTCCTTTGATGTTTGCCGACGCGCGGGATTAAACTTTGCGCGCAGAATTTTCAAAATAATTATCGCAGTTAAAAACTGATTTCATTTTCGAAATCGGCGTATCAAAATAAGCAAAGTGGCTCACGTATAACCTGATTTGATGCCATATTTTAAAACTTGAGCAAACTTTTTTTCAATTGTCTATTTTCAATCTAAATTCAGGTATCAAGGTCACCCAGTGCGTTGTTAGTGCATCTAACGTCAAAGCTGTTAGGACTACACACTGCACACTAGATATCTACTATCAACTACTGCACAGTCACTGTACAGTGTACAGTAGACCTATTCTGACTTGGTCGAAAGAATCTCTTATTCTCTTTATTGAGATGTAGAGGCCTACAGATCCCTCGAATGTCTGTGGACGATTAAGTCCAGAGACTACAATAACCAATTATTAAGAGAGGGCGTATGGAGAGTTTGTGTCATTAGAATTTTGCAACTAATAACTTCGTGTGCCTCTTTTTACGTTTGTTGAGTAACAACACACAGAATGCAGGCAAACTGTTGCCAAGAGTCATCTGGCTCAAGAAGAAGGAATCTCACCCAATTTAAAGGGAATTGGACACTATAAATTGGAATAATTAAACATAATATTATGGAGTTTGATAAATCTGACAGTTCTACTATACGAAGAATGTAATACGATTTATCGCTGAGAGTTACTTGGGCTTTACATGTTAACACTATTTACGGCAACCTATTTATATCCCTTTGACTGACAACTGGGTGTAACACACCCGCACATGTATTATACAGTGGGTTCCAAAAGAAACTTGATAATGTAATCATCCAATAATCGGGTTAAAGCCTTAAACTACCCACTCATACAACATACCAATTTAAAGCTAAATAAATTCTGCATCATCTGACATAATATTATTTCATCTATGTTAAGAGATGCTCGATATAATACCATGGTCACTCAAAATTGACCGTAAACAATCAGGCTTGGCAAAATTGTGCGAAATCACAGAAACGTTGTCTTTGCGCGTGTATTGGAGACCATCAATATTGATAGAATGGACATACATTGCATATCCAATGAATGGAGAATTTGTTTCTCAGAAATAAACAATATTTATTGTCGATAGTTTCAATTTCAAACAAAACAGAAAACAGAGTAATCACAAATACCACCAAAAAAAACTTGGACAACATTAAATGTGCTCATTGTGATTTTGCGTAGGAGCCATTGGTTTTGTGTAGTGCACGAACCCATAGGGCATCGACTCTGCTAAATTTTGGACAATTATCAGTCACTTTATCGCAGATGTCACAGACGGTTGCAAACGAAGGGTTTGAATTGGGAGCAACGGCAATTTTCTTCAGATGCTGTTTCATGGGATTTCCCATACGTGTAGTATTCAGATCGGGGTATTTACTGGTGACCACTCCAACGTTGATATGCTATAGTTTTCCAAGAATTGTCTCGTGATAATATTGGCCCATTTAGAAAGTGATTTGCCATGAATGGAGATGTCTACTTGAATGACATCATGAGGGAAATAAGGGTAAGACATGACTTTCCAACACTTGCGCGATGTAGTCAACTAAAGCAAGCCATCCGATGATTCACATGCGGACGATTTTGTTCATCCCGTCCCACCACACCAACAATGACAGTTTCATGCATGGCCTCTGCTCCTCAGTGACAGATGATTTTTCCTAAATCTAACCTACACAGCCATGTTCTAAAAGGTTTGTGCTTTACAAGAAGACCAATATCTCCTAAACAAAAACAAAAGCATACTAATGAGCATATGCAATGTTAAGTCTAAGTTCAGCATGGTATTTGTAAGTAATCATTTTTCCAACTTGTTTGAAAATAAGATAGACACACCTACATATTGTATGTAGGGAGGGAGAGAATGAGATAAATAGAGAGAGAGAAAGAGAGAGAGAAAG